AACCCAGGAGGCGGAGGTTGTGGTGAGCCGAGATCGCGCCATTGCACTCCAGCCTGGGTAACAAGAGCGAAACTCCGTCTCAAAAAAAAAAAAAAATAAATAAAATAAAATAAAAGCCTTCTTATAGGAGCCTCTCTGAACCGATTCTGGTTTGGGGGCTGCCCGTTAAATAAATAAATAAATAAATAGGCTGGGCATGGTGGCTCACATCTGTAATCCCAGCACTTTGGGAGGTCAGAGGATCACTTGAGCTCAGGACTTCAAGACCAGCCTGGGCAACACAATGAGACTCCATCTCTATCAAAAAAATCAAAATTTAATAACTTTTGACAGTAACAGCAATAAAAATAGCAAATACTATCACTTGCTATGCACAATATACTCTCAACAGATCTATAAAGATAAAATTATACCTGTTTTACAGATAAGGAAACTGAGGCACAGAGAAATCTTGTATGCCTAAGATTATACTGTTAGTAAGGGGTAGAGCTGGAATGAAGAATATCTCTTATCACTCATTTAGTGAACGTTAAAAACAAATACAAAAACACACAGAGAATGTTACCATGTTGGCACATATATGGATAAATATAGAGAAAGTCTTGTCTATATTTAGACAGAATTTCAGGAAAGCCAAATATTGCTGTGGGGCTCCCCAAACTTATACTTCATTTTAAAAATTAGTATGTATTTCAATAGTTTTTGGGGTACAGGTGGTTTTTGGTTACATGGATGAGTTCTACAGTGAATTTTGAGATTTTAGCGCACCTGTCACCCAAGCAATGTACACTGTACCCAACAGGTAGTCTTTTATCCCTCACCCCCCTCCTAGTCTCCCCCAACACCAAGTCCCCAAAGTCCATTGTATCACTCTGTATGTCTCTGCATCCTTACAGTGTAGCTCCCACTTACAAGTGAGAACCAAATGGCATTTGGTTTGCAATTCCTGAGTTACTTCACTTACGGTAATGGCCTCCAGCTCCATCCAAGTTGCTGCAAAAGACATTATTTCATTCCTTTCTATGGCTGAGCAGTATTCCATGGTGTAAAAAATACAGAATTTAAAATACAGGGATCCAGCACAGGAAAGAGGCAAAAAGAATTTCACAGAATGATGAGGGGAGACTGGAGGATGAAATCAGTGCAACAGGCCTTGTACATCGCCAGACCAGATTGAAGTACTGAAACGGTATGTCTCCAAGACAAACTGACAGATCCTCTGATGAGCTTGAAAGTACTGAGAGAAGGCACATACTCTGGTGAAGAGTTTGGATATGAATTAATGATCCATACATAAACAACAAAGACAATTTCCTAGTTTATTATGTAGCTCAGTGGTGAATAATGTTTCATTGCAACCTTTTCCTCCCGGGTTCAAGTGATTCTCCTGCCTCAGCCTCCCCAATAGCTGGGACTACAGGTGCACGCCACCATGCTCAGCTAATTTTTGTATTTTTAGTAGAGACGGGGTTTCACCATGTTGGCCAGATGGTCTTGATCTTTTGACCTTGTGATCCACCTGCCTCAGCCTCCCAAGTGCTGGGATTATAGGCGTGAGCCACCGAGCCTGGCCTTTTTGTTTTTTTTGAGAGTCTTGCTCTGTCGCCTAAGCTGGAGTACAGTGGCAAGCTGGAGTACAGTGGCATGATCTCAGCTCACTGCAACCTCTGCCTCCTGGGTTCAAGTGATTCTCCTGCCTCAGATTACAGGTGAGTGTTACCACACCCTATTGATTTTTGTATTTTTAGTAGAGACAGGGTTTCACCATGTTGGCCAGGCTGATCTCAAACTTCTGACCTCAGGTGATCCACCCACATCGGTCTCGCAAAGTGCTGGATTATAGATGTGAGCCACCGCACCTGGCTGAATAATGTTTACATAATGAAAATAATGTCAATACAAAGAACCAAAATTACTACATATATACTGGGGGAATAAGAGGAAAGGAAGGAAATGTATGTTTGCTTGTGTGTGATGAGAAGTGGTGGGATAGAAAAAAAATCTTTATCTTTCATAGGAGATAGTCAATAGATATAATTCAAATTTGGCCGGGTGTGGTGGCTCACGCCTGTAATCCCAGCACTCTGGGAGGTGGAGGTAGGCGGATCACTTGAATCCAGGAGTTCAAGACCAGACTGGGCAACATAGTGAGACCCATCTCTGTTAAAAAAAAAAAAAAATACAATTTAAAATTGAAAACAATTAAAATGGTATGAGCATATTATTATAGAAATAAGGTGGTAACTTCTAGAAGAAATAGTTAAAAGCTGTAAGTGGTTGTATCTTAGGAAGTAGGAATCAGATGACCTGAAAGGGGAGCAACTCTCATGCCTCCTGTTTTTCTTGTGATAAACTTCGGCCTTTTTTTTTTGAAAGGGAGTTTCATTCTTGTTGCCCAGGCTGGAGTGTAATGATGTGGTCTCAGCTCACTGCAACCTCTGCCTCCTCAGTTCAAGAGATTCTCCTGCTTCAGCCTCCTAAGCAGCTGGAATGACAGGACTGCCACCACACCCAGCTACTATTTTTTTGTATTTTTAGTAGAGACAGGGTTTCATCATGTTGGCCTGGCTGCTCTCCAACTCCTGATCTCTGGTGATCCGCCTGCTTTGACCTCCCAAAGTGCTGGAATTACAGGAGTGAGCCACCACAACTGGCCTGCCTTTTAAACCTTTTAAATTATGTTAAGAATCAAATAGGAAGCCAGGTGTGGAGATATCCACCTACAGTCATAGCTTGGGAGGCTGAGGCAGGAGAATTGCTTGCTTCCAGGACTTTGAGGCTGCAGTGAGCTATGACTGGGCCACTGCACTCTAGCCTAGGTAATAGAGCAAGTTCTTGTCTCTAAAATAAAATAATTAAAAAACATTTTTAAAGCATCAAACTGCAAGCTGGGTTCGGTGGCTCATGCTTGTAATCCCACCACTTTGGGAGGCTGAGGCGGGTGAATCATGAAGTCAGGAGTTCGAGACCAGCCTGACCAATATGGTGAAACCTGTCTCTACTAAAAAGCAAAAAATTAGCCAGGCCTGAGGGTGCATGCCTGTAGTCCCAGCTACTCAGGAGGCTGAGGTTGCAGTCAGCTGAGATTGCGCCACAGCACTCTAGCCTGGGCGACAGAGTGAGACTCCATCTCAAAAAAAAAAAAAAAAAAAAAAAAAAAAAAAAAAAAATCAAACTGGAATAAAAATGAAAATAAAACTCCTCTAAAATCCATACATGATCATCTTAGAGTAAATTTTAAGAATATAAAAAAATATAATCTAAAATATTGGACCGGGCACAGTGGCTCACGCCTCTAATCCCAACATTTTGGTAAGCCACAGAAGGTGGATCACTTGAGCCCAGGAGTTGAAGACCAGCCTGGGGAAACATGGCAAAACCTCATCTGTACAAAAAAAAAAATACAACAACAACAAAAAAAATTAGTTGGGCATGGTGGTGAGCCTGGGGAGGTTGAAGCTGCAGTGAGCCATGATTGCTCCACTGCACTCCAGCCTGGGCAACAGATCAAGACACTGTCTCAAAATAAATAAAATAAAATAAAACATTCTCTTTTGAGCCAGGTGTGGTGGCTCACGCCTATAATCCCAGCACTTTGGGAGGCTGAGGTGGGCGGATCACCTGAGGTCAGGAGTTTGAGACCAGCCTGACCAATATGGTGAAACCCTATCTTTAAAAAAAAAAATTCCCTTTTGAAACACTCTTGAGGAAAGTTCTCCAGAGAAACAGAAGAAAAAAAAAAAAAAAAAAAAAGAAGCAACTAGAGACAGGAAGAAGGAATAAATAACCTAGTAAATGAAGTACATTACTGTTTAAAAGGTAACAAGCCAATGGCATATCTGTTGACAATCTAGAACTAAAACTAGATGGCATTAACTAAGGGGGCAGTACAGAAGTGAGTGCCATGTGCTAAAAACACCTAATTAGGTAGCAGTGTTTAGCTTAAGGATTTTATTGTAAACAACTATGAATGTAATAATTTATAAATTTAATAAGTTGCTCTATCCTGACTCCACATCTGTTTGCTAATCTTGTTCATGATAGGATTCTTACTTGACCTTTACCATGAATCCCAAAATGGTCTATGATACTGCGTACACACACACACACACACACACTCACACACAACTACTAAGTGGGTCGATTGAGGTGGCTCATACTTGTAATTCCAGCACTTTGGGAGGCCTAGGCAAGAGGACTGCTTGAGGCCAGGAGTTCAAGATCAGCTTGGCTAACACAGTGAGACCTCGAATCAATAAATAAAATGAATGTAAGTATATAAAAACACTAAGTGGGCTGGGCGTGGTGGCTCACGCCTGTAATCCCACATTTTGGGAGGCTGAGGCAGGAGGATCACAAGGCAGGAGTTGGAGACCAGCCTAGCCAACATGGAGAAACCCCGTTTCTACTAAAAATACAAAAATTAGCTGGGCGTGGTGGCGCATGCCTGTAATCCAAGCTACTTAGGAGGCTGGTGCAGGAGAATCGCTTGAACCCGGGGGGCGGAGGTTTCAGTGAGCTGCGATGGCGCCACTGTACCCCAGCAAACACTTCAGTAAACAGGGCCACTGCACTCCAGCAAACAGGGCGGGGCGCGGTGGCTCACGCCTGTAATCCCAGAACTCCGGTAGGCGGAGGCGGGCGGATTACGAGGTCAAGAGATTGAGACCATCCTGGCCAACATGGTGAGACCCCGTCTCTACCAAAAATACAAAAATCAGCTGAGCGTCGTGGCACCCGCCTGTAGTCCCAGCTACTCAGGAGGCTGAGGCAGGAAAATGGCTTAAACCAGGACCCGACAGGTGGAGGTTGCAGTGAGCCGAGATTGTGCCACTGCACTCCAGTCTGGGCGACAGAGTGAGACTCCGTCTCAAAAAAACCCCAAACAAACAAACAAACAAACAAAAACTCTAAATGATCATAAAACTTCAGAGTGAACATTTCTCGATCTTTTCCAAGCGACCCTGGGGCAGTGTCCCTAGTTCTGACCTGTTACCCACCTAGGTCCGGGGCCCGGAGCCTACTCTCAGCCATGGAACTCTCCAGCTCGAGGCAATCGTCTCCTGAGAAAGGACATAACAGCAGCTCAACCATCTTCACCAACTCTTCGACCTTCCATCCCTCCTGCCCACTACCGTCTCCCAAAACGCGCACAAAAACGCGGCTCCTGGGAACAAGACTCAAGTCCATTCCGACCTACATCCCGCGCCTCCTGCCAGGCTCTTGTCCATGCCCTCCGCCTCCTTTCACACTCCGCTCTGTCAACGGCCGTCAGTGACCTCTCGGCCACAATCCCCATACCTTCCTCCAGGCTGTTGTCCCCTACGTTCCTCTGCCACCTTCACTCCTCGGTCCCCTCAACTCCTGTGGCTCTTCTCCAGCCCCTATACTCTCCAGAGCTTCTGCATCTAACCGCTGCTCTATTCCTAAGCCCCCTCTACGACCCCGCACCTCGCCTCAACTGTTAACGACACCTTCGCCTTTCTTTCTCCCCTTCCCGGCATCCGTACCCTTTCCCGGCTCGCTCATCAAATGCCCGCTCCTTCTCGGCCCCCGTACTCCTTCAAAGGCCTCCGTATTACATTCGCGAGCTCCATGAGCTCTTCCCGACTCCGCAGTCCCGGGTACACCTGTGCAAGCACAACATCATTCTCCTGGCGTCTTCTGCCGCGGCTCCGGTTTAAATTTCCTGCTGGCTCCGCCCCTAAAACTGGGCAGCCGCTTAGAGACTGCCCTACGGTGTCCTTGGAAGGACAATATTAGTACCGCGATTCCTCTTTCCGTTCCCCCAACCAGTATGTCTTCTCCAACGGTCTCATTTCTCGGCTCTTCAAACGGCTTGATAGCTTTGCCCCTTAATGGCCCTCAAGTTGAGGACTAGTGGCCAATTTTATTTTCTTTTTTGGGGGGGGAGGGGAGCAGAGTCTAGTTTTTATTGCCCGGGCTGGAATGAGTGGTGCGATCTTGGCTCATTGCAACCTCCGCCTGCCCAGTTCAAGCGGTTTTCCTGCCTCAGCCTCCCAAATAGCTGGGACTACAGGCGCCCGCCACCACATCCGGCTAATTTTTGTATTTTTAGTCGAGACGGGTTTCACCGTATTGGCTAGTATGGTCTTGATCTCCTGACCTGGTGATCCGCCCACCCTGGCCTCCCAACGTGCTGGGATTACAGGTGTGAACCATCGCAACCAGCCTAGTGGTTGCTTTTTAGTAATTCTTCACACTGAGCTGAATTGAAATTCCTAGGAGTCTTTTGTTTTGTTTTGTCTAGAGATGGGGTTTCACCATGTTGGCCAGGCTGGTCATGAACTCCTGACCTCAGGTGATCCGCCCGCCTCGGCCTCCCAACGTGCTGGGATTACAGGCGTGAGCCACCGCGGCCAGCCCTTTTTTCTTTTTTTTCCCTAGGAGTTTGAATAACAAATAACAAAATAAGCCTAACACTTGTAGAGCATTTGCAGTTTACATAAAGATTTCACTTACACATCATCTTCACATCTTTGTCCCCTCCCATTCTTCAATCATTACCTGCCCAATAAAACTTCTCAAAAGTTTTATTTTTATCTTTATCTCTCACTTCCCATCTTCAGCCCATCTAATTAGACTTTGAGCTAATTAGAGATCAAATTTGATCTAATTAGAGATCATTCAGTAAAGAGCTGGGGAAGCTCCCCACTAAAACTGTATTCATGCAGGTCCACTGTGATTTCCACAGTCCCAAATACTGTCCTCATTATATCCAATTTATAGAAGATGGACTATTTCCTCTTTGAAATACTTTCTTCTCTTTGCTTCCATGACTCAGCACTCTACCGATTTTTGCCCTACCTCTGTGGTTCCTCCTCAGTCCCCTTTGCTGGATCTAAAGACACTGTTGGAGTATGCCAAGCTTTAGCCCTTATCCCTCTCCCTTATCTCCCTAGGAGCATCCAGCTCCATGACTTTACAATTCAGCTCTGTGCCTTGCCTTCAGAATTTCTGTAACTCTGACCTGTCCGATCTCCAGATTCACATACTCAAGTGCTTACTGGCTATTTCAATTTGGATGTCTAATAGACACCTCAGGCTTAACACTTTCCAAACAGAACATTTGTTTCTGTTTCACTGCTCCCGCCAAAAAGCATTTGTTCTGCCCCCAGTCTTCCCCTAGTAAAATGTTACTGTTACTCAAATGTCACCATCATTCAAACCAAAAACCTAGAAGTTATCTTTTAGTACTTTCCCTTATGCCCATCCCCACTCCAAGAATAATTCCTACTAATTCTGCCCCAAAGTTTATCTGGAATCAGACCACTACTTCCCTAGTTCAAGCACTATCATTTCTTGCCTAAAGTACTGCAGTCAATTCTTCACTTCTACTCTTGAGTAGCTTCCTACCTCCCCCCAATATAATCCATTCTCCTTTCAGCAACCAGAGTGATATTTTTAACTTTTATTTATTTATTTACTTTTTTTAGATGGAGTCTCGCTCTGTTACCCAGGCTGGAGTGCAGTGGTGCAATCTCGGCTCACTGCAACCACTACCTTTCTATTTTCATTCTCATTTTCTTATAAATTTTCAGTGGAATATGCAGAAGGAGAAATGATAATCCAATTTCTTTGTTGTTTTGTTTTGGTTTTTGTTGTTGTTGTTTTGGTGTTATTTTATTTTATTTTTTTTGAGATGGAGTCTTGCTCTGCTATCCAGGCTGGAGTACAGTGGCACAATCTCGGCTCACTGCTACCTTCATGTCCTGGGTTCAAGCAATTCTCCTACCTCAGCCTCCTGAGTAGCTGGGATTACAGGTTAGTGTCACCATGCCCGGCTAATTTTTATAATTTTAGTAGAGATGGGGTTTCACCATGTTGGTCAGGCTGGTCTTGAACTGCTGATCTCAGGTGATCTGCCTGCCTCAGCCTCCCAGAGTGCTGGGATTACAGGCGTGAACCACCGCACCCAGCCTGGTGTTTTGTTTTTGAGACAGAGTCTCACTCTGTCCATGGCCCAGGCTGGAGTGCAGTGACACAATCACCGTTCACTGCAACTTTGACCTGGGGCTCAAGAGATCTTCTGTCCTCACAACCTGGGAGGAGTAACTAGTACTACATATGTGTGCCACCACTTCCAGCTAATTTTGTAGAAAAATTGTATAGAGTTGGAGGTCTCACTATGTAACCCAGGCTGTCTTGAACTCCTGGGCTCAAGCGATCTTCTCAACTTGGCCTCCTGAAATGCTGGGATTACAGGCATGAGCCACTGTGCTCATCCCTATAAATTTAAATTTAGTCTGGGTGTAGAAGCACATATCCGTAGTCAGCTGCTTGAGGGAGTGAGGTGGGAGGATTACTTGAGCCCAGAAGTTTGAGGCCAGCCTGTGACAAATAGCAAAACCCCATCTCTAAAATAAAACACACACACACACACACACACACACACACACCCCTACACACCTGCCCCCTCCCCACACACACACGTGAAAAAACCCACATTGTAATAGCCAATCTCCAAGATGGCCTGCAATGATCCTTGCCTCCTGGTAGTCACACTCACATTAAATAGGGCCATGTAACCAATAGAATATTGAGAAAATGATAATGTGTGACTTCTGAGGCTGTTTTTTTGGATCATCTGTTCTTGGGGAAGCCAGCAGTCATTCATTATGTGAGGACATTCAAATATGCTTGTGGAGAGGCTCACATGAAGAGGAACTGAACTTTCTGACTAGCACCTTGCACCAATTTCCACTCAAGGGATTGTGGCATCCTGCAAGCCCATCTTTCAGCTCTAGTCAAGCCTTCAGATGACTGCAACTCACAAGAGAATCCATGCCGGAAAAGCCTAGACAAACTGCTCCCCAGTTCCAGACCCACAAAAACAAGAGAGAATAAATGATTAGTGTTGTTTAAAGTCACTAAATTTTGGGCCAGGCATGGTGGCTCACGCACTTTTCGTGATCCCAGCACTTTGGGAGGCTGAAGCAGGAGGATCACTTGAGGTCAGAAGTTCAAGACCAGCCTGGCCAACATGGTGAAACCCCATCTCTACTAAAAATACCAAAAAAAAAAAAAAAATTATTTGGGTTTGGTGGCACTTGCCTGTAATCCCAGCTACTTGGGAGGCTGAGGCAGGAGAATCACTCAAAGCTGGGAGGTGGAGGTTGCAGTGAAATGGGATTGTGCCATTGCGTTCCTGCCTGGGGGACACCTGGGTGACTCAACGAGACTCTATCTCAAAAACAAACGAACCATTTTCCACTTAACAGACGGACGAAGATCAATTTTACTAGATAGTGCCAAATTGCCTTACATGGGGGTTGTACCAGATTTCTATCTGAGGTGATTTGGCACTAGTGAGCAAAATTACAAATGTACACATCTTTCTACGTGGCAGTCCCACTTCTAGAGTTATTCTACAGACATACTCACATGTGTGACAGAATTTGTATAATAAAGGTATCTGCCACAGCAATACCAAAAGATCAAAAGCAACCAAAATATTAATAACAGGCAGTAGATTAAATAAATTATGGTGTAGTCACACTGTGCAACACTAAAAAATGAAAATACTGTAAAATATAAATGTATTTAGGGAGTCCTATCCAGAGCAATCAGCAAGAAAAGTAAAGAGAAAGTCGAATATCTCTCTCTCGCTCTTTTTTTTTGAAATTATTTTTTTGAGACAGAGTTTCACTCTTGTTACTCAGGCTGGAGTGCAATGGCGCGATCTCGGCTCACTGCAACCTCTGCCTCCTGGGTTCAGGCAATTCTCCTGCCTCAGCCTCCTGAGTAGCTGGGATTACAGGCACACATCACCATGCCCAGCTAATTTTTTGTATTTTTAGTAGAGACGGGGGTTTCACCATGTTGACCAGGATGGTCTAGATCTCTTGACCTCGTGATCCACCCACCTCGGCCTCCCAAAGTGCTGGGATTACAGGCTTGAGCCACCGCACCCGGCCTCGAATATCTCTCTTTACTGATGATATGATTCTATACCTAGAAAACCCTGAAGACTCCACCAAAAGGCTCCTAGACCAAATAAAATTTTAGGATAAAAAAAAATCAACACACAAAAATCAGTAGCATTTCTATGCACCAATAATATTCAAGCTGAGAGCCAAATCAAGAATGTGGTCCCATGTACAACAGCCACACACACACAAGGCCAGCTGGTGGCTCACGCCTGTAATCCCAGCACTTTGGGAGGCCAAGGCGGCTGGATCACTTGAGGCCAGGAGTTCGAGACCAGCCTGGACAACATGGTGAAACCCCATCTCCACTAAACATACAAAAATTAACCTGGCATGGTGGTGCATTCCTGTAATCCCAGCTACTCAGGTGGCTGAGGCATGAGGATCACTTGAACCCAGGAAGTGAAGGTTGCAGTGAGTTGAGATCACGCCACTGCATTCCAGCCTGGGCGACAAAGTGACACTCTGTCTCAAAAAAAAAAAAAAAAAAAAAAAAAAAAAAAAAAAAGCCACACACACAAAGCAATACC